ACTGGTGGTGTTTGTCAGAGCATCTACCTATGTAAAGTGAGGCCGTGTGCAGATCTTACCCTCGCCCTCCTCATGCATGGCTCTAGGTTGAGAAACAGTGAAGCACTGCATTATCTCATACTGCTGCCGTGCTTCCTGGTTCTCTGAGTCCACCTCGTCAGGGGGTCGTTTCAGCATGCGGCAGTTGAAAGTATGGCTGTTCCTACCAGTAGACTCCTGAGGCCAGGGAACCCCATTGACTGCAGAAAGAGAAAGCAATGTCAATCTATAAAGAAAAAGATTTAAGACTGTCATTTAGAAAGAAACCATTTGGCAGTTAGTCTATAATCAAGCCACAGTCATGAATTTCCACACTGACCTCTGAACTCTAAAAAATACACAAACTACTAGAAGAATGATTAATGTATTACAATCAAGGCACCTGGAAAGACTGTCCATGTACAGTGATATTTGCACTGAGGTATTTCCACATAACTGTACTGCTACCAATAGAATATTTACATTGCTCTCACTCCTCTTGTATTAGGACAATAGTGTTCTTCGTAATTTCTGTCATAGCTATTCATTGCATGACAATGTCTTATTCTGTGTCCAAGAAGAATTTCTAATCACAGGGACTCTTCCACTGAAGCATGTTATTTATACTTTGCAAAAAAACAAAAAACAAGAAAACAAGAAACATATGCTACATATGCTTCTTTCAGAACAGACTTTTATTCTTCCATCTGTGTAGAAAACCTTTAAATCAACAAAGCAGAAAAAAAACCTATTTTAATTGTATATTCACCTATTAGGAACAGTCATTACATGTATCCCACTTCCTTTCAGTTTATACAAATACTTTCTTCTTCTGATATTTGCCTTCAAGTAACATATGTGGGTCAGTGTGAATTTTGTAAAAAATAAGATGGCAAATATCAATGATTAGTAAGATGTTGTTGAAACCAGATGTTCCAAATAAGCTCTAAGCTCTTCTTGAGCCATCACTTTCCTACTGATGCTCTTAAATTACTAATTTGGGTTCTGTAGTGTGAAATCTGTACAGTGTTTTTCAATTTCAAAGGAATAGTTGGCTTTTTTATTGGCACTTATCATCAGATCAGTTTCCCTTTACATCTGTGTGGTATGCATTCTTATAGTATGCATACCATACAGGAATGTCAAACGGTATTGGCAAAATTGGTCATTTTCTGGTTGCTCCAGTTTCCCTCAGTTCAAAGACATAACTGGAAGGTTAATTGGCTTCTGGGAAAATTGGCCCTGGCGTGAGTTTGTGTCTGTGTGTGCCCTGCGATGGACTGGCGTCCCATCCAGAATGTATCCTTCCTTGCACCCACTGCTTGCCAGGAGAGTCTCCAGCAACCCCCTGACCCTATACTGGATGAGTGGATCAGGAAATGAACGGATGGGGGGATGGATATTGTACAACATAATCCACAATATCTATATTTACAAGAATGGGAGCAAGAGGGGCGAGTTATTTTTCCATGTTTGAAATCGTAACACTACAGCTTGACTTTCATGTTTATAATGTGTGCCTTCATGGGTAACAGTAATAGACTAAATACACCTTAGGGCAGAGAAAAAAAAACAATTATTTTTAAACTGAAAGTTTACTGGAGACTATACGTATAGCAGAGCCTAATTATGAGAATTAAGTGAATTTCTGTGCCCATATGGAGCACACTGAAATGTGTTGATTCAGAGAAGGCCTTATTATTATATTAATAAAATTATTCAGAATTCAGAATGCCATCTAGTCATTAGTGTGGACACAAATCTGAACAACCCATTGCATGGACTAATTTTTAACATGCACCCATACCCTGATTGACATTAATCCAAATAAATAAGCTGTATGGTTCAACGAAGGTTGGGAGATTCTATTCTGACTCTTAAGTTAAAACTTGGAGGGCAATCTAACATGATGTACAACTGTATTCTTTTTTTTCTGTACATTTTAAAAACAGTTTTTGCTGTTTTCAGCTTTAGCAGTATTGCTTTAAAAAAACATCAGGCTGACTCATTCAGATGCACATTTTCTCGTGCACTATGGCAAAGTGCATGCCCTGCCCTGCCAAGCAAACTCACCCAAGCTCTTGGGCAGCAGGTTGCGTACAAATTCATTGTGGTCGCCCACATGCAGGATGCTGTACACACTGGAGCTCATCAGCTCCTCCTGGGGGTAACCAAGGTAGTTAGTCACATTCTCCGAGACAAAGACAATCCGCCCCTCACGATTAACCACGAAGAAGAAGCCATCCAGTGCCTAAGAGAAACAAAAACAAGACATACACAGTGTGAGGAAAGGAAACAGATACTAAGCATGACACACACAGGGAGCACAGATGGAGATGCACCTGCAGAAGACGATGTGATATGAAAAAGTTCTTGTGGGAACGCTAAGCTGCCATCACCCAGTTCCGTTACTAATTTAGCTGGGAAAGTGTTTTTGAGGTTTCTAAATCAATGTGTTTAATACTCAAATATGCATTTACTATGGCTTTTTCATTTTGAGGGTAGTCTATAAAAAAGTACTTTCCTGCTATGCTGTAATTCTACATAAATATATAGCTACATAATGTAAAAACATAAAAAAACAGTGGCTTTTCAGACCCAACAATCTTTGGTTACTGGCATTTACTGATCTAAGGATCTAATCCAATTGTTATTAACTTCAACAGGATTTTGTGTAAAGAAGCACCTCCTGTTTTCAGATCGAAATGTACATGTCAGTAGTCCCTGCTTGTCTCTGCTGGTTCAGCGGATCCTGAAGAAGTACATTAGACCAACTGCCAATGCCTTTGGGAATATTGAATATCTTGATTAAGTACCCTTGTAATCTTCTCTGTTCAAGGCCAAAGAGATTCAATGTGAGCCTGTTAGATTAGGAAATTAATTAAAGCCTGGGAATGTATTGTACAGGGACTGCATTTTAAAAAAGAGCAGGCTTGATAAACATTCCACATCCGTGACTGATCACCAATGTGGAGCGGGCATAAATATGTTTCTAACTAGCAGCTTGGTAAGGACTGTTGGGAGACTAATGTTTGTAACTTGCAGCTAGAAAAGGAGTACAGCACAGCATCGTAAAACAGGAGGCTCACATTTGCACTATGAATGCAGAAGACACATGGCAAAACAAGAGCTTCAGCAAGTGTTCATTGTATCATAATGGAATTCTGTGTTGCTGTATTTATACTTAACTGTTTAAATTATTGTACGAAACACGTGTCCTTGTTTTAACACATACAAGTCAAACCTGTTTTGAATATCGTGTACCCTCCCTCCCTCCTGTTGTCAAAAATCATTTATAATCACTAATAGCTGGCCGATACCCGTCAATTGTATTTAATCAAGCATTCAAATCATGTGCACTTGTCATATGCTCGTCAAGGCAGGCTAAAATGTCCATAAATATCTGTGCAAGTCTCCTGTTCCTGTTGTAGACAATTAGCATGTATTTCCCAAACTGAGCAGGCTCAGGGGAGGCTGTCAGGCATCTCCTTACCTCTAGCAAAAGAGGACACAAGGCTTCCTTCTCAATCATCCCCTGGCTGCTGGATGAGATGTCACTCTTCTGCACTTCATCGTCGGGCGACATCAACGCAGCAGCAGCTTTCTCTACACACACAGAAAACAGCTGTTTTCAGTGGAGGCCTCACACTACGCAGAGCAAGGAGGAGTGCTAACACAATGATTCCTTGATTGGCTAGTTCATTGCCTGGGTGCTTCAGCTTTCGAATAACTTTCGAAAAATCTGGAGGAAAAACACGCAAACACGGGGAGAACATACAAACTCCACACAGACAGCACCCTTAGAATTCAACCCAGGGCCCCAGCACTGGAAGGCAGCAATTCTAAACACTGAGCCCCTCTGCTGCCCCAATTAAACAAACTGACTGCTTTAACCACAGAACTGCAATAATTCTGTCCTCAAGTGAGTCAGCTTAACGTTGCTCGCAAGTCCGCAGCAGATAACAAGTAAAAGAGACTCATAAAGCTTCCTGGGCAGTGGTCCTTGAGGTTTAATACTAACCTTCCCTAAAGATGTGGGAACTATGAAACCATACGATCACTTATATTTAATCTGATGGTAGAATGTAACACAAGGTATGAATACTTGATAAAGTACGAGTACATTTAAGACCTGAGACTTCTCAAACGTTACAGTGAACTTTATGCAGTCGCCCTTGCTATTTGTTGCTGAACACAAAAAATGATTGAATCAATTAATGAGCCCTACAATATTAAATCAGAGCCCTCCCGTATGAGCAATAATCTTTTTTCAGAAAGAGTTAATAAATTTACCTACTGTATGTTTGTGCCTGCTCCTTTTAGTGCTAGATCTTGGGCTGTAGGGTATACAAACAGGTTGTATTTGAGCCTGCTCTGTTGTGTCCTTGGTTTTGGGTTATATACACATGGTCTCCAACCTTTGACAGGGTTATGCACGATAACATACAGATAGAAGAGTAACAGGTATACAATTGTCTAACATTCATTTGAAAGCCCATCTTTGAGGAATGTCAGTGATCTGCAATTACTTTACAACTAGGAGAGATCTTGTCTACATGTAGGACGTGGTTGTGACTGTACAGTTTTTTATTGTAATGAATTCCAACTATGGCTGAAGACATGACAAAAGATATAGATCTATCTTCACTGTCTATGATATGTTATTAAAAGAACAACAGTAATGGTCAACAATACACTACTGCCCAGTAATAACGGTAGTAAGAACGAGAGCAGGATACCTCACTTGGACAGAATATTGATGGGGAGGCCACTCCCTTATCCGAGATGTCAATAGCATTTGTCATTCCTCTATGACATGCATACTATAGTGACAGAAAGTGCCACAGGCAGAGAACCTGCGCAGTCCTTCTAAAGAATCAATGATCTGCAAATAAAAGACACTCCTCTGATGAAATGGCTGTGTATTATTACAGTACAAGTATATAATTTTTAAAAGTCAACATCGCTCATTACTTCAAAATTTCAAAATAAGTTCAAAATTGATTAATTTTTAATAAATTATTATTATTTCATGTGTGAACATCATTATCATGCCTTTCAACTGTGGCTGAAAGCCATCCCCTTGACATTTCAACCAAGGGAAGTGTGATCACTACAGTACAGTGAAGGAGAGTGTGCAGGAGCACAAATTCATTTTTAAGTCTAACTGCTAAACTGAAAGGACATAAGCAGCCTTAAAAGCTTTCCAAGACCCAACTAGGTTCAGGAAAATGCCAACATTTGGATTAAACAAATTTGAATAAACAGAATAATAATATATTTCTTCAATACAAATAAGGGGTGAATATTCAAACTGGGGTAATGTAACTAATGGATTGGCAAAGGTATCCGGACAATATCCACTGCTCGTCTTATTTATATCTATGATCTAGATTCTTGTACGGTTAGTAAACAAGTCATGTTTGCAGATGATACTGCATTAGGAGGATTAGCAAAGACTGTAGAAGCGGCAACTCAAATTCAATTAAAAGAATTTGATCAAATTCAAGAGAAGGCAAATACCTGACAGATCACATTCAATGCAGAGTTTTGAAAGCAGGTAGTAAAAGCATAAACTACAAAAACAAAATGGGTGGCAGGGTGGTTAGAAATAGCACCATGGCTCTGGGTTTAACTCCTGTGCTGTAGCTTGTATGTCCTTCCTGAGGTCATGTTGGTGTCCTCCAGGAGCTACGGTTACTTACCACAGCCCAGAGACATTCTTGTAGATTAATGTGGCTTCTGTAAATTGGCCATGGAGTGAGTGTATGCATGTTTGTGTCTGAATGTGTCTTGCAGTGAACTGGTGTCCCATGCAGGGTGTATCCTGCCTTGTACCCAATAAAGCCCGGGTTAAGTAGTGGAACCAAACCCACTCCTTGCCACAATGACATGGAATTGGAAAAATGGTTACTGAAAGTGATGTGATGATGTGGCAAAAAAAAAACTGGGCAAAGAGATAGAAGAGACTATGCAATGCAATTACTTTTCTTTTTATGGTGACATCATTGACATCTTTGATAAGGTTTGGGCATTGTTAGGATTTACAGTAAAAGCCTAGATTTTAAATTAAGAAATCACTCCTCAAGAATTAATCCAGATAATGAAGAGAAGACCACCCAGATACACTGGCAGAGATGGAGATGCAGCTGAGATTAACCATTACAGCCACATTACATATTAGAGATGGTAATAAAATGGGTCTGACACAGACAGGCTGAAGGATCAGAACTTTTTAGTCTTAAACAGAAAAGACCAACTGGGGACCTGATTCAAGAATTCAAAATCCTCAGAGTCATTCAAAAAGCCAACCCAGAGAATTCTTTCAGAGTGAACAGTGAAACACAAACCGGAAGACTCAAGTAGAAACTGCATGGATGTGCATTAAAAAAGGGAAAGGGTTGTGGGAGTATGAAAAAAGCTACCCAGTCAATATGGTTTCCTTCAAGAAACAGTTGGATGAGATTCTTTGAGATCCTTGGCTCAAATTAACTGCTAACTACCAAATGGGCTAGAGGGTTCTTCTCGTCTGTAACCTTTCCTAGTTTGATGGATGTCTCCTCCAGCAATGCTATCTGTTCACTTTTTGAACGAATTCAGTCCGAGTGTATACATGAGTAGTTAATCTGGTTGTAATTCGCTCACTGCAGAATGTGGCCAATCCACTGCTCTGGTTTCATAACATGCAGTTTATTAGACGCATATTAGTAAGTCGAATGAAGAAAATTCAACTACTCGTTTACCATAAATATTTGTTTAGATTTTTAAGGCTGCGTGATTTACAGTAAATAAACTACCGCAGACAGCAAGATTGGACTTTTTTTTGCTTCAATCTAAAAACAGTCCATCCTTGCCTCAACTTTTCTTCCACTCTCCTGTGAAAGCAAACAGTACACTTCTTTCAAAACGCTGCAAGCACACCATTTAGATTCACACATTACGTAGTTGGTCTTTTTTTTTTCCCTGTCATACACGTAGTATATTAAATTATATACATCCCGACGAGAATATAACCTATTTATTGCATGGTTAATTTTTTTCTATCATCTAAAATAGTGCTGGTCAAGACTCAGATAAAGTAGTTTTAAATAGTTGTATCTGTAATCAGATCACTGGGCATGGCTTCACTCCCGCTTCTGCTTCTCTCTAACACCACCTTTTCTGCAGTGGTTTGGCGGTTTGGTCTTTGCTGTCTTACTTATAGTAAACAGCTGAAAGGGAAATGGAAGCCCCCCCCCAACTGTAATTGCAAGAGGCCCTGTTACCCAAGGTCAGAGAGCAGAGACAACCGCCATTGGTTACTAGCTCACACTCCCCACTCTACTCCCTGGCTCGCACATCCTACTCACTTTATAAAACAAAAACATACGAATCGTTGCTGTATCAAAGAAAGACAGTCACATCAGCCTCATCATTCCCGGAAAAAAAACGTACTTCACGTGGGAATACCCTCTTCCTCTATTAACTTTCAAATATGAATTGTGAATTCTGTTGATAAGAACCACATCAGAACGTCAACAGAGCTTTGGCCCTCCACACTTGCAGCTGAAAACTGACTCTCCTTCAGCAAAACAGACCGATCCCGTGTTTAACCAATTAGGTACAGAGCCTTTTCTATCCGTCCCCCCTTAATGCTGCTCTCTTCACCTGCAGAGATCTTCAAAAGCAAAAAAAAAATCACCACAAGCTGGAAACTGATATACAGTAAACTAGAAGCTACCCTTCAAGCCGCTTGTGAGATTGTGGAGTTATGAGATGTTGCTGAGTTGTAAGATTCCCAGCATGTTTCTTTTGTGGCGCAAAGGAAGAAATTAAACCACTTTATTCCTTTGTTATTTGTAACTTAAAGAAATGTCACATTTCTAATCATTTTAATTGTCTTTGTGTTGTACAGGGAGACTAAATTTAAAATTTGATGATTTGGCCTTTAGCTGAATAAAGACCACATCTGGTTTCTCTCTGACTACACTTTTAATTAGCTCTTTTAATTGGTAACAATTTGTATTACAGAAATCCCTGTACATGAAGGTTTTCCACATAGACAGGTACATTACATCTATTTGTAGTGTATTTCTGCATTGTACTGTAAAAAAAAAATAGTGCATGAATTCTCACATTTGTGAAAATTCTGCCACTCATTCAGAGGTTTCTGAAAAACTCTACAAACAGTTAATATTTAATTTCCTACTGCAGTGCAATATTTCTCTAAGATGACCATTCACAGAAAAAGGAAAATGTTTCCATATGAAGGACTTCACAAGAAAAAAACAAGAGGTGCACAAGACGCTCAAGGAAAGCTGGCCAATGGCATCTAATCATGTTCATGACAACGTGAAAAAATACTTAAAATTCTACTTAAATAAGTGCAAGAAGGGCAAATTTTTTAACAGAAGAAGGTTTTCATATTTGTCTTCAATTTAAACTGTTTACATCTGTTAAAGAGTATACCAATCAGTACACCTAGTATTTTCTGGACACACTCTCTATGTTTCAACTGGGATAAAAAGTAGTTGCTGTAGAATTTTTCTATTCACTGCTCACAATGTCTGCACTATAGATACCTGTATCATCAAAGAGCGGAACTAATGAAAACAGAAACCATTCTTATTTTTTTTAGTTTGAATTCTACCACTGGCCACAGAGTAAAACTATGTGTATACTATGAGTATAGTACATTCCAAGCAATAAAAGATGATTAACCACGACTGATCATGATACACTCAAGTGAGCTTTACTGTTATTTAAGCACTAAATCAGCTCATTGAAGAGCTGATTGGTCACAGGTGCCCTGCTTATCAAGAGACCAATGCCTTTTTGCCACATGTGCTGGACAAACAAACTAAGTCAGATCACATCGCCCACATGCCTGGCCAACCATTTGAAATCAAGCAAGATGTTACACCCAACCACAGCCTGGCAATAACAGGCCATGTTTTAGGAAACCACAAGTCACAACATGGTTCCAAGCTTGATACACCAACCTTCATGATCATTTTCCAAATTGTCCGGAAATTCCAGGTCACCACAAATGATTGACAGGTGACCAACTTACACAGGGCTACAGTGATCAAGATGTGGGATGTGGGACTTCACTTGCTGTCTTTCCTCGCAGGCTCATCTTGATCCTCATGCTGCTAATGTAGCACCAGCTTTCTTGCAAAATGCTAATGTGACAGATATGCCACGAATACCCTACTCATCCGGATTGAGTCTCATTGAACATTTTTGAGAAGACTTGGGACTACATGCGGAACTTAGGGTTCAGAGAATATTGAACAACTACAGTACATTTAAGGTTCTATGAGAGGAATGGAACAGGATCCCATAAGACACTATCTGCAACCTGGTCCAGAGCTTGTACAGCTTGTGTCGGTTCCAACGTTGGACACAGACACTGCTAGCCTGTGACTTTCACAGTAAACCCTTGGCAATCAACCTTACTGATGGCAAATGCTAACTAGCCTGATGAGTTTATCTACATCACGCCTCTTGAATTTATGTCAGAGCACATTCTACAAAAAAAGGCTAAAATGTTCCTGATAATAACGCTTCCACGACCGAGTATGCGTAGACTCAGAATAAGAAACTCCGGAATAAAACCAGACTTGCTTAATAGTGTGTTTAAGAATGCCTGAACAACCATTCTAAAATGTTCACTGAGAAAATCGTTTCTCCTAAGTATTTTTTTTGTTAAGATATTTTTTTTATTTATTTTTATTTCCCCAATGTAATGACAGTGTTCCACTTCATAGCAGACAAGTACAACTGTGGCGCATTACTTTTGGGTTCTTGATCCGACAGCAATGCACATGCATGCGTAGAAAATTTAACCAGCTCGTTACAGTCCGCCTGGTCTTGCCTGGCCTAGATAAAGAAAGCAAAGCTTCCATGATTTTTTATAGAGCACTTTTCCCAATGGAGTTCTACAGCAGAACAGTGTGCAGAATGAGCACTCGCTGAAAAAAAATTGTACTTTACATGATTATCAGAGAAGCCTCCTTTTAAACATAGTTTTTAAATATTACATTAGTGCTGAACTCATTTGAATCCATCCATCCATTTTCTAAACATTTTACCCAATTCAGAGTCGTGAGGGAGCCGGAGCCTATCCCAGCAAGCAATGGGCACAAGGCAGGATACACCCTGGACGAGACACCAATCCATCTCAGGGCACACACAGATATGGTCACAAACATGCAAACACTCACATCAGGGCCAATTTTTACCCTGAAGCCAATGAACCTACCAGTTTGTATTTGGACTGCAGGAGGAAACCAGAGCACCTGAGAACATACAAACTCCACACAGACATGACCCAGATCTGGAATTGAACCCAGGGCCCCAGTGCTGAAAGGCAGCAATGCTAACCACTGCATCACCGTGCCACCTCTCATAATAATTTTGTATGCTAATTCAGTGTTATGGACTTCAGTTTTAACCATTGAGTCGCAATGCTTAAATGGTTGAGGGAGGTATAGGATGTGTCCGCAGGAGATTTTCTAGCTGTATGACGTGGGTAAAATCTGCTCACCCTGCTCCCGGCGCTTGATCTGCTGGATCTGGTCTACTGTGCTCTTCAGGATGTGGCATTTGTCCGGCTTCACGCTCAGACTGTCGATGTCGCCCATGTTAGCCGACAGCAGCTCCGCCAGCTCCTCGATGTAACGACACTCCAGCTCCCGGCGGCGCTTCTCGACACTTGACGACGAGACAAGAGGGAAGGAAACACTGGGATCAACCGAGAATCAGACCGGCAGGGCAGGAAGGGGCCATGCTAATGCCTGCTAATGAAACTACTGAGGTGAAAATTGCGCAAAAATCACTTCATTAAACCTAGATCAATAAGTAAAGAGCCTTTTAAAATGCCGGTAATCTGTACTTGTGTTACTGAATTCCCACTTGTGACAGGACATTGGATGGTACACATATTTTAGTCTGTCAAGTAGTGTTACCTGCTGACAGTAGTACAACTATAAATTGTGAAACTGGGAATCTGAAGACTTTTTCATCATTTAATTTTCTTACAACATGAGGCAGCAATTAAAAAGGCATACAGAATGTTAACATATGTTAAAAGCACAGAATTTCATGCCGCTTATAAGACCTCATATGACATATTTTGTCTAGTTTGGTAACCATGATACGGTCCCTCTAGAATCCACTAAGAGAAAAGCTATAAGGTACATTTACGGGCTTAAGTGAATGTTTTGCACTCATAAGTTAACCCTTTTTTGGTCCAATAAAATTGGTCCAGCAACACATTACAAAAAGGTTTAAATAAAAGCCAATGTGACCAAGTGGAAAACAGATATTACATTTTGTCTTTCCCCCCTAAAAGTATCATTGCTCCCCTTTGGAGCCAGTTTTTGGTAATGTCAGTAGAACTATTATGACAGATTAACTAGAGACATTTGAACTTAAACGGCGATTGAGACTTTCCAGCTAACTGCATTCTCGTGTTTGCTTTAAGGCTATAATTGCCAAGGTCTCCGGAGAAGATCACAGGGCTATGGCACTGGAATGGAGCACGGGTGAGGCCTAAGGCCCTGACAGTGCTGTGCTCTGATCTCTATCCAACATGATCAGGATTGCCCAGTCAGGGGCACACTCCCCAATTGGCCGAGCACTGTTAAGTGAGCTTCTGAAATGGCAAAATCTGGAGGAGGGGGGCTGTTGGCAGCTAAAGGCATCAATGACTTTTCCTTCAGTCACGCTCCAGGGTAGCAAAGATTTATAGCATGCGTAAACCGTAATGAACCATACATGCGAACATGTTGAAGAAGCGCAGTTACAGAACCCCAGGCTCAAGTAAAGAGAGATTAGGACTCTCAACATGAGCCGTGCGGCAAAGACCTGCTCCCCCAAGCACCTGACTTGTGACAAATCTAAACAATCAGCCATTCTGAATTGGGTGGATAAAAAATGGTTGATTTCAGTGATAAACAACAAACCTACAGAAAATGGCATTAGAATTGTGCTTTAGTGCTACAGCATGAGCTGCGACAGACAGTGGTCAAGAACTTTAAATGTTCATGGGAAATTTCCTTCTAAAATCATTCTTATCATTATAATGATAAGAATGATTTTAAAAACATTCCATCAAACATTCCATCAACATTCCATTTTGACACATGGCTGGACATCTGATTTTGTGATGTGTTTTTTCTTACTGTAGAAAATTTGAAGTACATACTGTAACATTCGTTGAACATTTTTTGGTAAGGTAATGAAAAGGCTTTTATCATGTGAAACAGTCAAGCAGTAAAAACAGTATTACATTACAAAACGCCTTCAGAGGACACTTCAGAGAAGTGCACAATACAATTATAACTAACAACGTGAAAACCATTTTTTTTGCTGGCAGTCATCATGAAACTGGTATACCATACGTTATGCTTCAACTCTGCACGCAAAGACTGTGTGTGGGTGAGCTCTGCAAGCAGAGAGCTGTTAAAGTAGGTCAGTTCAGTGCCTGGTCTGTGCACAGGCGCATTGTGCAGGTCAGGCGCTGCGTGGGGCTGCTGTAGAAAGTACCCGCACAGAGGCACAGTTCCATCAGCCCACAGAGACGTTGGAGAAGAGACAGCATCCCACATCTAACATCGTTATGAAAAAAACAAACTCAAGCACTGATTTATTTCCCCATATGCATCACTACCAAAATTTAATGCACCAACTATATATTTTTCATGCTTCATTTGTTTATTGGCTTTTCCCGCAAAAAGAATGAATATTACATGGCACCATATACAATCTATTTTTTGGCTACAAAACCAGAAGAAATAAGAAAGAAAAAGAAAAAACATAACGGCCATAGTCGAGAGACATCTAGGGATGTGACAGGTAAGATGTGATTTTGGAGACATTACTTATTTCATTCTCAGGGACAACAATTTCCAGACTGGACTTGAAATGTGTATACAGTGTACTTGCATAACTATACTCCCTGGTGCTCAAGCTGATCTGCTTCAGCGCACCACAGTCATCACAAACAACCAGAGTCTGGGCTTGAGTTTAGCTCTTCAGTGCTCAGTATTGCTAGTTAAGCAGCTGCACAGAATTTTCTTGTCGATCTTCAGAGATTACTTTAAAAGAGTTTTATTTAAAAACACATTAAACATTATACCAAATGGACTCCTCTTTGTATGTTCTACATTTAAAACCTGGAGAACAGCACGTGAATTCTCTAAATTAAAAAAATATATGCATTAGCACAGATATACAGCCTCCAAAGAAACAGGATCTTTTAAGCGAAAGCTGTAAACAAGGATGAAGCCAAGATATAGATAAACTACATTTTCACTTGAATGGTGTAAGGAAAATTAGATAACAAACACCTCTGTGTGCAGAGTTGCAGAACAAAAGCATTCTACTGTACATAACTGGAAAATAATTTTATACTTCTAATGAGTTGCCTGAACCATTACTAATACCATGACAACAACTGATCAATACACCAGACTGCTCTGAAAAGTGCTGAATGCAGCATCAGTGGTTGACTCACCCTCCAGTCTCATAACAATAACAAATAAAACAACACATATTCGGGCATCTGTGCAAGACTGCTAAAGCTGTAAAGCTTAAAAACAACAAATGAGGAAAGGTGCCACAGAATAATTACACAAAACAAGATGGATAAAGCCATAAAGCATCCTGAGGTGAGGGTGACAAGACTGTGGCCGAGACGTCAAATGACTGACATCTAATCCCACCATGCAATGCACCAACATATGTGGGCTTTCAACTTGCTTTGCCCAATTAAACAAAGCCTACCTGTAAGACAAAAACCTGCCTCTGAAGTGAATATCTTGCTCGATATTGAAGGGCTTGCTTTTTGGACATAAAAAGGGGTCAAAATTTGAGCCATGCCTGTTGAAAGAAGAATGTAATGAGCGCACCAGACAATGTGAAGGGAGGGAGCCTTACCTCTGCCCAGAGGTGTCGCATGGTGACCCTTTCCTCTTGAGAGAGTCCAGGTTCGTGGGGTCAAGGGCACTTTCCCCTAGGCCACTCATGTTGAGCTACAGCACGCCTGCAACACAGCCCACACAGAAGTCAAGACACCCAAGTGAAAAACAAAAGACAAACGCACCTGTATGAGTAGCCGATTATATTTTTTTGTGAAAAGCACAAGGCTAAGGCCAGTGATAATCACATCTTAGAATCACAAATTAAAAACCCGACACCGGATACCGTTTCATCGCTTGCCCGAGAAGTCTTGTCTGAACATTAATAGCACGGATGTAATTAAGGACTGGTTGGAAACCAGGAAAAAACTCCACTGTTTACCCTACTGAGTATCTCACAATAGTTCTTGGTGATAAAACATCAGTCGGATGACTCATAGCCTGAGGCGATATGTTCTTGATTGGCAACATATGCAGATAACCAGGGGGAGAAAAAGCCAGTGCAAAAGATGTGCTTCATCTTTTTGTCAGCCCACTGGAGTGTTACGCAACACTGTTGCTGATTTGACGTAAACAATGAAAAACAACATTCTGTTTTGAATGTGTGCAGTGACCACAGATTTTATTCTGTAACTTATGCTTTCATGTTATAAACTTGTCAACTGCAGAACAGCAGAGCCTGTGCCTGAATCCCACTATTATGTTATAGTTTGTCATCTACAAGGCTTGTTCTCCCTAGCTGGCTGACCTCATTCTGGGAATTACAAGAGGTGCAGGCTCAACTACAGAGATTAGGGCTCTCAACATGAGCTGTGCTGCTAAATTTCACATGTACACTGGCAAATCCCGACTCCCTCAAACTCCTGACTTGAAGACACATACAGCAGCTTGTGCCAGAAGAGGGGAAAATGTTAAACTGAAGGATGCAAAATGCAGAATTTCATAATTGTTCTATATCATGAAATCCTGAAAATGTATTATGTACTTCTACATGGAAATTGAGCAGTTATCTCAATCTTATAACATGTTTTTTTTCCTCCCTTTGCCATGATTTGTCACAGCTTGTAGTAGACCTCTCTTTGCTACGTCGTGGTTAAAGGACAGCTTCTCCATTCTTCATACACCTCATGTGGGGTTTATCACAGTCAGCCACAATGAAGGTTTATGCGAGTAGGGCTGCTATAAGTCAACATGCAGTTCACCGAGATGGCATTCACTTCACATGAGGTTTAGAGCATTTCTCGTAAAACAGTAGGATGAGTAGAACAAAGTGATAAATGAACAAAAGTACTTGGTGCTAGATGAAGAAATATGGTGTCTATCTACTAACTGTGATGTTACATGTTTTTCCTAATTCATTTTTACCAGTGATGTTTACATAGTCATACAGAACTATAAACCTACCTTGCCCCATGTCTTTAGTACCACCACACCATTAAACATCAGATCTGTCTCTCTAAGAAACTCTCATATCTCTTGAAACTGCTGAGCTTTCTTCTCTATTGGACTACCGTAAAACACATTTCCCACAGAGGATAATGAAGCTTCAATTGATTTGTTCAGGCCAAGTGCATGACCATTCATTTTGACAGATCTGTAACCTTACCTTTGGGTAGGCAAAAGAAACACGCAACATTCTTTACTGACAACAGAAAGGCTCGTTTTCCAACTCCTGCTGAACTGATGGAGTGAGCTCCTTCATTAAACTTCCTTCTCGCTTCTCCTGAGGAATATGCGTTTTCCTGACTTTCCGGTTCAGCCTCTCTCAGCCTCTTGAGGTTCCGGGGATAAGGCCCTGTTATGGCGAGATTCCCCTTTTCTGATGATTTTGTCCTGCAATAACCCGAGCCAATAACTCTGTCTGCCGCTGTCTGGTCTGAGGGTTTTTCCTGCTTTGCTCCGAGCACACACATAGCACGCCACCTCATCTCAAAGGCTCTCTTCCCTCAGTTCATTCAGTCCCACACCAGAGTGCTTCTTCAAGCTGAAGTCAGTTCATCCCAAACGAGGCCTCAACAGGCTCACATTGCCAACCAGAAAAACACTCAATTCACTAACCACACTCTTCACTGGCCCCCTCTATACCTTTACTGTGTGGTTTTTAAATAAACAAAGGGATATTATATTTAAAACAATGTTAGAAGATTTTAACAGTTTGCTTTAAATGGAAGCAAATAAAAAAAACAAAGAAAAAGATACCAAAATAGCTGGGTTAGGCGATCAGTGCAGAGTTTAACACTTTAGAATACCGGATAGGTTAGAAATGAGAGGAGGCCATTTGACCCATGTTGTACGAGTGGTAATTTGCAGATAACTTATTTGGGGATTTCACTCAGTAATTCAGCTTCAATAACATGGATGGCTTGTTCCCATCTCCCAAAACCTTCCGTGTAAACACATACCTCCTATTTTTGGTTTTAAACACACCTTCATATAGAGGGCACTGGTTTTTGTAGAATTTTCTTCTACAACATACTTTTATAATGTCTTCACCATTCTTCATACTCTTGAATCTGTATCCTATATTTGTTTACCACCATTCTTTAGAACCGACTGCATTGACCAGGCCATGAGTACCACCAATAGAAATATAAATTTTCCTATGCAATACCTATGGTATTCTTCTTCAGTGTCACCAACCTGTAATGTCAATTAAAAAAAACAATTTACAAATAAAACCGAGGTTCCCTAACACTTGGGAAACAAGCCTGCAAACCCAGTTTGTGACCGAACAAAAGTATCTGAGGTAAAACCCTCTGAACCTGACTCTTACATAATGCTTTACTCATCAGGCATGGAAAGGAAGGAAAGGAAAATTGTATATGTTGTTATGATGCTGTGTTTAAGTATATTCACAGTTCCCCTCATAATAAATTGATTTATAAATGTCATACTTTATTGAGTTATAGCCATTTTCAGATCAAGGCTTTCTAAACTATACGTAGGTAAGATATCAAAAGCAGCTGTTTGTGTTGTTTTCAGCTGCATTCTCATTTAAATATTAAACTTGGTTCAAGTTTGATAGCAGATGAAAATGTTACTGTATAATGAAATATTAAATATTCAGAGTTAGTGATTTAAAACAAGAAAGCATGCAGCATAAGAGATGATGCCTAGTTACATAAACAATGAATGCAATGCTCTCTGCATTTGTTTTGCACATACCTCTTCTAAAAATGATTCATAGATGTTAAGACCTGGTGAAAAAAATATTAAAATTGATAAACGCCTAATTATGAAAATATCAAATAGACAACAAAATGTTCAGCTGATATGCACATATACCATGACCCACAACGACATCATTATAGGGGGAGCAACATGGTGGTGCAGTGGTTAGCACTGCTGCCTCACAGTGCTGGGGCCCTGAGATTGATTCCAGGGTGCTATCTGTGTGGAGTGTGCATATTCACCCTGTGTTCGCACAGGTTTTTCTCCCACAGTCCAAAGACATATTGATAGTTTAATTGGCTTCTGGGAAAACTGGCTCTTGGCACGAGTGTGGCCCTACAATGTATCTTGAACATCAAATGTATCCATACAGGCAGGTGTATCTTGCCTTGGGACTGTTGCTTGCTGGGATAGGCTCCAGCTGCCCCACAACCTGCTGTTGCACTGCAATTTCCCTCACAAGCGAGATTAATAAAGTATCTATCTATCAAATCCAAAATTGGATGAAGTGGCTAGAAAATGGATGGCTGAATATGGGAAATATGCATACAGAGGGAGTAATTTTCCTTATATACTAAATATTAGTGTATTTAATACTAATATTAATATCCGGGTGTAGTGGTGTTTCTGTGGCTAAGGATCTGTGCCTGTGGCTGGAAGGCAGTTGGTTCAAATCCCGCAGCCGGCAGAAGAATCCTTCTCCGTTGGGCTCCCGAGTAAGGCCCTTAACTCCAACTGCTCCAGGGTTGCCGTACATTGGCAGACCCTGCACTCTGACCCCAGGCTCTCTCCCTGTCTGTGTGTCTCATGGAGAGCAAGCTGGGGTATGCGAAAAGATAATTCCTAATGCAAGAAATTGTAAAGGGTTAATAAAGTGATGTTATTATTATTAATTTGGTTTATTTTCAATAGCTTTTTTTTCTGAACAGCACAACAACACTGCCACAAAAGGATTGCTTCTTGTTTACCAAAACACTGTCAAATACGGCTATGAGCTTCTCCAAACTAAGCTTAACAAAATGTTTTCATACACCACATATGAAACAGGCTCATCTTTCCAATACTTCCAATGGTCTTTTGAAGACCCAGAAAATTTCCCTGGGATTACAAAGCACCCTGCAGCTTAAGGTTGTGATTCTTCGTTTCCAATGGTAAATGGTTAACAAGCACTGCTGCTCATCCGTTCTGCAAAAAAACATAATGATCCACTGAAATAGACACATCAAAACCACAAAGACAGACAAAATATTTCAAGGCAACAAGCTTATTAAATATACACAAGAGAACACTTCATTCCCACTGCCCCAGGGGAAGAACGGCAGCACAGAAGATTCTTAAAAAACACACCCATCAGACATTGTGCATGTTACTGTACATGTTACTGTACACTTTATACTGATATGAGGTATAAATTACAGTGCTGAAGCCTGCTACTGCCTTGGCAAAATGTTCAGAATTGCACATAAGCATGACACACATTAGGTACTTTATATGCTACCTCACCTTAGAACACTATAACACTGTTTCAAGTTTATCACCCTACTTCCATTTTGCTTAGAAGATTGCAACCAGTTGCTTAAATCGAATGCTTATTTTCTTTTCATATTTGCACTTACAGGGCTATTTGTTTTACCTACACCTATTGTACTGTAGCTCAAATACCCCTTTGAATTTTTGTGGTTAGTCCAGTTATGGCTTATGCAATTAATCTAAATAACAGCTCGCCAAATATACATTTGTTTGCTTTCACGGGTTTCAACATTTCTAGGGATGGAAAAGAAATAAATGAATTGAGGTTAGCCTCATTTAAAAAAAAGCTAAAACATGAACGTCTATTCCAGAGATATGAGTTCTATTTTGGTACAAAATGGGCTTGTTCAGCAGGTTTACCGAGTTTTGGTCCAGAAAAAAATCTTAGCTAGTCAAATGAAGTTACTTAAGTTAAATCATATTT